CTGCTTTGCTAAGAATGCTCTCAATTTTCTGATAAGGGTCCTAGCAGGAAATGAGTCTGTTTTCCAAAGTTTTATAGCCCTTCAGCTAACTGACCCTGACTCAGAATAAGACCTCATAATTCTTTGTATGTTATTTATTGTTTGATTCTTACTGCCTGACAATGATTGATGAGCTGTACTTGTATTCCTGTGCAAATTGTTCCCAATAAAAGCCCATTGAGGAAAAGGTTCCTGGCCCTTCTCCTTTGAGAGATCAGCCACCTTTCCTCCCCAAGAAGATCATGTCTTGGTAGACTTATTCTCATCCACAGCAGACCAGGAGCTCTGTGGGCAAAGCTTACCCACAGTTGCCAGATAGGAGCGGTGTGTGGGGGAATGGGTGAGGAGGTGAGGGGATTAAGACGCACAAATAGGTAGTTACAGACTAGTCATGGGGATGTAAAGTACAGTATAGGAAATGGAGTGGCCAAAGAACTCACACACATGACCCATGGACATGAACAATGGTGTGGGAATAGCATGAGAGAGTAGGGGGTACTAGATGGAGGGGGGCAGAGGGGAAAAATCAGGAAAACTGTAATATCATAATCAATAAAATATAATTTTAAGAACTTTTTTTAAAATTTTAAGAACTTTTAAAGAGGGTAAGATTAAACCCATTTTTCTTGCACCTGTATCTATTGTCAATTTTCCTGGTTTGAAAATGCTTGGCACAGTAATTAAAATTTCTTAAATGATCAATTTTCTTAAACTACTTGTTGGTGTGAACATACATATAGAAAACTGTATGACTCAAAAGTGTACCATTCAAATCATTTTCACAAACTCAACACACTGTGAGACCAGCACCCAGATCTAGAACCAAAACGTTATTCTTTTCTCAGAAGCCTTTCGGTTTCTATCCTCCCAAGGCTAACTACTAATCTGGCTTCTAAAAATTATTCAATCTTTTAATATTGGCATATCTAGGACCATGTTGGGCCAGGTGCTTTATATTGTATTATCTGCTCCCATTTAGTTGGAAGGTAGTATCAAGTCTCTGGTCAGTTAGTGATCTTGACTTATATTCAACTCCTATAAGCAATGATAAGAAATAAGAGTGCCAGTCCCAGCAGTACCATTTAATCTTGTGACCTAAAAAGTCCATGTCTCGGCTCTGGCTGGTGTAGCTCAGTGGATTGAGCATGGGCCTGTGAACCAAAAGATCGCGGTTTGATTCCTGGTTGCAGGCCAGTTCCCAGCAGGGGCCAGTTCCCAGCAGGGGATGCACAAGAAGCAACCATACATTGATATTTCTCTCCCTCTCTCCTTCCCTTCCCCTCTAAAAAATAAATAAATAAAATAAAAATAAGGAAGTCCATATCTCCTCTCTTAAGCCACAGCAATATAGTCTCTAAAATATGGGCAAGCACAATGCATTTGTAGATTTGCTATGAGGATTAGATGAAATCTCGTTCTCAAAGTAAAGTACCCAGTACAGTGTAGTGTGCCTGGTTTTAGCAATGTATAGCTGACTTTTATTGTGTGCAGTTGTGATGTGAGGGTTTTTTGTATGCCGTTTATAACTTTGGGCAAATAGAATTCTTTGATTTTCTCACATACTTTCTCAGTCTTCCATGTATCAGTAGTCGAAGAAATGATCATTTACCTACAAATTTAGGTTCCAAATCTCAGCATTTTTTTCGATTCCTATCTTTCCTACATTCCATTCATCTAAATCCTCAGCAGGTTTTGCTGACTCTAAAAAGGAAAAGCCAAGCCACTATGTTCTCTCAATATTTACTACCATTATCCTATTTTAAGCTACTACCACCCCTCACTTAAATATCTTCACAAGAATGTAAGCTTGTGAACAGGCTCCTTGTGCTATTGACCGCAGCTGTATGCCCAGCACTCCAGAACAGTGCTAATAGTGCCTGGCTCTTAGGCTTCTGCTAACTAAATCTTGAATGAATACATTGTTGCAACAAACCTTTGAAGTGGGTACTATTATTATTTTCATCTCATATTGGGTTGGCCAAAAAGTTCATTTAGTTTTTTCCATATGATTGTTCTAGTAGTGCTTAGTTATCTTTAACTTCATTTAAAACAGTTTTGTTAGATTGTATTGTCACAATTGTCCTTTCAGTGTGCATAAAAAATTCACCAAAATTAGTGAATTTTTGTGCAGTCATTTTAATATTGTAGATGGAAGAAGATATACAACATTGTCAGCGTATTATACTTTATTATTTCAAGAAAGGTAAAAACAACTGAAATGCAAAACAAATGATTTGCACAGTTTATGAAGAAGGTGCTGTGACTGACAGAACATGTCAAAAGTGGTTTATGAAGTTTCTTGGTATTATTGTCATTTTGGCCAAATAATTCTTTGGCTTGGGGCTGTCTTATGCACTGGAAGACGTTTAGCAGCATCTCTGGCCTCTAACCACTAGAAGCCAGTAGCAGGAGATAGTTGACATACTCAAAATATCCAAATCAATAAAGTTATTGGTGAAGATGAAAAGTGTGTCTTTTATTTAATGGAAAAAAACTAAATGGAGTTGGGGGCAACCTAATAGATAGGGAAATAGGCTTGCAGTAACTTATTAGGGTCACAACTTAAATAGCTTATTTAGGGTCACAACAACAAATATCAGAAGCAAGATTTAATTCCGGGTCTAACTCTAGAGCCTGCCAGGTTATCCGCTATGCTGCTGTACTGAACTACACTGGCTGAGGCTGAAGTCAATTTCTTTTTTTTAGAAAGGGGGAAAGAGTTAATTTGTTGTTCTGCTTACTTATGCATTCATTGATTGATTCTTCTATGTGCTTTGTTGGGGTGAACCAACAACCTTGGTGGATGGGAAAGACACTGTAACCAACTGAGCTATCTGGCCCTGAATTTAATTATCAAGGGATTTTTGGCTGATGTTAAAATGAATTTTAGTTGAAATTCCCCAAACTGAAATCTTCCTCTCAGAATAAAGTTAATATGCCCTTCGCACAATTGTGTAGCATCAGCATGATTTGGCTTCTCCCAAGTCTCATCTCTCTTCATTGGTCTCTAACCCCAATATTCCGGCCATAATGATGTTTTCTCTTCCCAGCATATGCTCTTGCCTCTACAGAACCACTGTCCCTCTCCCATGCCCTCTTAAAAACCTTCCCCAACTTCTGAATTCTGAGGAATTATAACAAGCAGTATTTTATCCTAGTTGGCATCACTCAACTAAAATTACTTATTTCTTTATTGTTCACTGCTGTGTTCCCAGTGCCTAAGAAGTGCCTGGAATGGAATAGGTACTTGATAAATATGCGTTTAATACAGATATGAAAGGGCAAGGATTATTTCATCAATTTATAGAACGAAAGACTATGGCTACTGGGCGTGTATTTCACCCTAGGTTTAGGCAGTAAGTGGCCCCGGTGACATTGGAAACCGGGGCTCTACAAACAGCCCGGCAGACTACGCCAGCTCTCCTAGTTCCTCTTCCGCCCTCTCCTACTAGCTCCACCCACCCCGGCCTACACATTCTCTAAGAGTAGTTTGACCCCCCAACGGCCGCCGTAGTGCGTCGCCTCCGTTGCCTTGGGAAACGACCCGGGAACTGGGTCGGGGGAAAGACGTTTCCCGCCGGCGGGAGCTGCGGTTGTGGCGGCGAGGGGAGGTCTGAGGCTGCGGGGCCCATTGCCGCAGCACCATGGCTGACCAGTTTTATTTGGAAAATATAGACGAGTTCGTCATGGACCAAAACAAGATCGTGAGGAGCTAGGACTGGGGGATGCGGGCGTGGGACTGGGGTCCTAGGCCCGGGGAGGGCGGCAGGGTCCTTAACCCTTCTCTGTGTGGTGTCGTGGGGACTGGCCGAGGGAGACAGGTCCCCACCCCACGTACTCCAAGGCGAGCAAGAACTCGCGGGAGAGGTTTTCCAGTGCTCACGCAAGTCCTCGTCCCTTGGTTGGGCGTTTTGAGCACTGTGCACAGATTAGGACGGAGGCTCACTGGTTGTTAATATTTCTAAGGCGTCTCTACACCTGTCTGATAAGGTGGTTGGCGTTTAAAGCCCCAAATTTACAGTTGGGGAAATTGTAACCAGGCTTAAGTGACAAGTTGTTTAACTTCCCTACAGCCAGTTTCCTGTTACTGGAAATTTGGCATTGCTGCAGGCTTGATTTGCAAGATTAAGGGAGACAATGAAAGTGAGAGCACTTTTCAGATCGTGATGATGCCTACTGTGAGCTTTGGATACACGTTATTGTATTGACATCCAGAGGTCGGTAGAAAAGGCAGTTGAAGCAGACAGAGGGGCCAAATAACTTGTTTATTTGTGCTAAGGGACAAGCAGTCTTCCAAGCTAGGTTAGTCTCTTTTGCTAATGTTCTTTTTACATCACACTGCTGTTGCCTAACCAGTAACACTTCCAATTATTGGGAAATCAGCATTTTTAATTGGAAGATTTTGAGAGAAGAGTGACAGGAGAGTTGAAGGAAGGATGGAAGGCGGGTCTAGTCTCAAGGCCAGGAGTTCCCAATCTAACCTCTGATACAGTGTCGGCCTCGTTCGTTCCCGGACCCCTGCAGCACCTGTGCCCTTCAATGTTTATTCCTATGGATGCAACTTAGATGTTTTTCTGAGTCATACACTTGAAAGTAATCTAGCTTTTGGGTGAGTTTTGGGGTAGTTTTCGGCTGTGCCCCTCAAAAAGGACACACCGCGAGAAAAGGGGCCTGAATAAAATCAAGGAGTGTGAGGAAAATGGAACTTTTTCTTTGATGCATAGTCAACCTTCCTTCCTTTTTAGATTTTTTCATTCATTAGTGTGTGAAACAAACTTTTTAGTATTGGTAAAAAAATAAACATCTCGGTCCTGCGTTCCCATAGCTGGTTCTTGGCAAAACTTGGGTGGCATCTATTATAATTTATGATGTACAATTATCTAGGACCAGGGCTCTTTAGGAACTGATCTGCACTCTGGAGTCATCTAATAAAATGCCTAAAAAATTCCTCCTTTTTGCAGGTGACATACAAATGGCTTAGCTACACACTAGGAGTTCATGTTAACCAGGCCAAACAGTAAGTTCAATTTACTACTCATTTTAATCACATTGGAATTTTTTGTTTGTTATTTTGTTTTGTTTTTAGGTTTATAGACTCTACATCAGAACTTTTTTTTCCTGGGAAATGGAAATACTAGTTTTACTACTTCTGTCCATTATTTAGGACCTAGGTAAACTTATACATAAAGGTGTAGTGATACATTTACTGGATTTATTTGTAGTCTTACCCTTTGGTTAACCTCGCTTTGTTCTTTCAAATTTATTGAATGGGCTAGCCATTTCTGTTCACACCTCAGATTTATACGTCTGTTATCTTACATCTTCATTGCAGCTTCATGCATGCTCATATGCTCCTTAGGCCAGCTCTGGGTGCTACCAAAGTACCTCCATAATGAGGTCAACAGGTGTTTGACACAAACCATATAACATTGGGTGTAAGAGAGGGGAGAACCTTTCAAGTGAAACAAATGTTTAGGATGGTGCAGAGCATTGCCTTTCTTGAATTTTGCCATATCACCTCTCCTTGCTGAAATGGAAAAAAAAGCAAACTTTTAAATCAACTTCAAATTTCCTGACCTGCAAAAGTGCAGATGTTGTTTTTGTTGTGAAGGGAAGAATTGGTGAACAGGCTGAGGACATATGTATTGAGTTAAATACTCATTTAGTTTATTTAATCGATAAAGGTGGTTGGATTTTTTTTCCTATTCCTTTGAGTCACGGGAACTTTCTTTAAGTGGTAGGAAGGTTCCCTGAGTCTTAGAAATTCTCAATAGCAGGTTGATTTGGCTTTATTTGAGTTGCTTTTTGACAGGCCTAGGAGTCTGATTTTGACTGGATGTCTATGCCTCCAAGATCTAAACTCTTTTGGGGGATGGATGCCTGTAAGAGTCATTATTTGTTGTGGTTACAGATGTTTAAATATGAAATGAGGTAATTATTACTATATAAGCTTGTTGGGGTTTAAAGGTGCATATTGGAGAATAAATAAATTTGCCTGCAATTTTGAAAATATTTTATTTATTTATTTTTAGAAAGAGGGGAAGGGAAGGAGAAAGGGAAAGAAACATCAATGTGTGGTTGCCTCTTGAGCATCACCTACTGCGGACGTGGCCTGCAACCCAGCCACGTGCCCTGACCGGGAATTGAACCAGCAACCCTTTGGTTTGTAGACCTGCGCTCAATCCACTGAGCTACACCAGCCAGGGCTACCTGTGATTTTATTGTAGCAATACGCTATCTTGCCCCAGCCTGACTACCAACTTCAATCCACAGCACTCTCCATCTCTCTTATACTCTAGCCATGTTTGCCTTTCCGTTCCTCAAATATGCCAGACCCGTTCTCACCCTAGGACGTTTGCCCATCCCCTCTGCCTGGAATGCTTTCCCAGCTGTCGTCATCCTCCAGGTTTCAGTTCAGGTTTCACACACTTCTTGGAAGAGCCCTCCCCTAAAGCTCTATTTCAGGTATCTCCACCCCTCCCTAACTTGCTGTCTTATGTATTTCTTTTGTATTTAAGGGAAAAAACTCTATTCAGATAGAATTCACATACCATATAATTCACCCACAAAAAGTGTACAATTTATTGGTTTTTACTACATCCAGAGTTGTGCAGCCTTAGCTACAATTAATTTTAAAGCATTTTCATCGACCCCAAAAGGGACTCTGTATCCATTAGCTGTCATTCATCATTTTCCTGTAGTCTTGCCCCCAATTCCCCCAGCCCTAGGCAACTACTGATATATTCTTTGTCTATAGATTTGCTTATTCTGACCGCTTCATGTAAACGGAATCATATAATATGTAAACTTATGTGCCTGTTTTTTTCACTTAGCATGTTTTTAAGGTTTGACCATGTTGTAGAACATACCAGGGCAGTCAGTCCTCACTTAACATCATCTGAAATGACATTTTTTAAAATAAAGATTTAATTATTTTTAGAGAGAGGGGAACAGAGAAAGAGGGAGAGAAACATCAATGTGTGGTTGCCTCTCACATACCCCTACCTAGTGGGAACCTGGCCCACAACATAGGCATGTACCCTGACTGGGAATCGAACAAGCAACCCTTTGATTCACAGGCCAGTGCTCAATCCGCTGAGCCACACCAGCCAGGGCTGAAATTGCTTCTAACAAAATCAATTTTACCATAGGCTAATTGATATAATAAACAAGAGTTCTTACAGTATCTCATCAATATAATGAAATAACCTTATTTGAGGATCTTCTGTACTTCATTTATTTTTATGGCTGAATTATTTCATTATATGGTGTTACTAGTTTCTCAGGGCTGACGTGACAAAGTAATACAAAGTTGGTGGTTTAAAGTCACTGAAATACGGCATGTCTTACAATTCTGGAGGCCAGAAGTCCGAAATCAAGATGCAGCAGGGCCATGCTCTCTGAAACCTGTGGAGAAGAATCCTTTCTTGTCTCTTCCTAACTTTTGGTTTGCCAGCAGTCTTTGGCATTCCTTGGCTTACAGCTGCAGGACCCCAGTCTCAGCCTTCGTTGTCCCATGACATTTGTTGTCCCGTGGGTCTGAATCTTCACATGGCCATTTTATGAGGATACCAGTTATCTTGGATTAGGAGCCCACCCTCCTTCAGTTTAACTTCAGCTTACCTGATAATACATGCAAAGATCAAATTTCCAAGTAAGGTCACATTCTGAGTGTGACTGGTGGCTAGGAGGTCAGCATATCTTTCTGGGGGACACAATTTAACCCAGACTTTATGGATAAACTATTTTGTTTATCCATTCATCAGGTGATGAACATTTAGGTTATTTCCACATTGGGGTGTTGTGACTAATACAACTGTGAACATTCTCGTGCAGACATGTATTCTCAGTTCCCCTGGGTGTGTACCCAGGATTGGAATTCTGGGTCAGATGGTAAACCTGTATTTAACATTTTGAGGAACGACCAAACTGTTTTAAAAGTGTCAATGCTACTTTACAATCCTACCAGCAATGTTTGAGGGTTTCAATTTCTCCACATTCTTTTCAACTTTTAATAATCTTTTTTTTTAAGCCATCCCAGTGGGTATGAAATAGTATCATTATGGTTTTGATTTTCAGCTCCCTAATGACGAATGGTGTTGATCATCTTTTCATGTGCTTATTAGCCATTCGTATACCTCTGGAGAAATATTTATTCTAATCCTTTACCCATTTCTTTATTGGGTTATTTGTCTTTTTTATCGTTGAGTTGTAAGAGTTCTTTATGTATTCTGGACACTAGACCCTGATCAGATATGATTTGCAAAAAATTCTCCCATTCTGTGGGTTGTCTTTGTACTTTGTTGATGGTGTCCTTTGAAGCACAAAAGTTTTTGTTGAATTCCAATTTACTTTTTTCCTTCTTTTCCTTCTATTCTTTAATGTAGTGGCTAGGAAAGTTTTAACTGAAAGTCAAGAAGATTTACTTTTGTGTTTTATTTATTTTTTACAGAGAGGGGAAGTGTGTGGTTGCCTCTTGCATGCCCTCAATTGGGGACTTGGCCCACATCCCGGGCATGTGCCCTGACTCGGAATCAAACTGGCAACTTTGGTTTGCAGGCCAGCACTGAATCCACTGAGCAACACCAGCCAGGGCCACTTTTGTATTTTCTTGTAGTTATAGTTCTTACACCAATAATTATCACTATATTTAAGGTTTCTGCATGTTGAGTGCTTGTTAACATGTTAAAATGCCTCAGTCCTCACAGTAAGAATACATTATGGTTTTTAAAATACATTACAGTTTTAAATTAAAGCACATTATGGTACTTCTAAATTAAGTGGGAGTAACTTATCTCAGCTCCATAATGTCTTGTGCCTCAGCTGGGAAGCCTCAACGGCTGGAGCCCTGTCATGTGTAGGCTTCTTTGTTCATGTCCGACAGTTGATGCTGAGCTGTTGACCAGACCTTGCACGTGGTCTGTCTCTGTGGCCTGAGCTCTGTCAAGGCAGGGTGTCTCTGGGTGGTAGTTGGACTTCTTAAACAGCTCAGGACTTCATATCTAGTCCTCCAGCACAAGGTAAAAGCTGATTGCCTGAAAAGTCAAACAGTATCATGTCTGCTTTGTTTTTTTTTGGTTAAAATGAATCACTAGCCCTCCCGGATTCAAGGGGAGAGGAGAGGGTGGAGTCCACCTCTCTCTGGGTGGACATACAAAAGTGTGTGGGATGGGTGACATCGTTCCAGCCATTTTTGGAAGACACAGCATGCCACAGTCATTGTATCTTTAGTGCTCAGCTCCTCATAGGTGCCAATAAGTACTTAATAAATACTAAGCACCTGTGGTTGATGTTTTCCCACATTTTTATCTCACACAATCTGTTTAACCATCCACTGGTGTTATCACCCTTTCTTCACAAACAAGGAAATTGAGACTTGAGTGTTCTGGCACTTTTTCTTACTTTACCTATAGCGGAAGCATTTATTTATTTAGTTTAACATTTGACATATTGTGATTTTATTTTACTTTAAATTTTTTATTGAATTTACTCGAGTGACATTGGTAAATAAAATTATTTAGATTTCAAGTGTACGATTTCATAAAACATCATCTGTACATCTGTTACCACTGAGCCCCTGTTTCCCCTCTATTGCCTCGCCCCACCCCACTGTCCCTCTGGTAATCGCCATGCTATTGTCTGTGAGTGTTTTGTGAGGTATGTTTTTTCCCTTAATCCCTTCACCTTTTTTTTATTTAAAAAATTTTTTTAAAAATATATTTTATTGATTATGCCATTACAGTTCTATTCCCCCCTTCATTCTCCTCCACCCTGCACACCCCTCCCCCACCATTCCCCCCCTTTAGTTTATGACTATGTGTCTCAAGTTCTTTAGATTCTATATTTCCCATACTATTCTTGCCCTCCCCCCTATTTTCTACCTACCATCTATGCTACTTATTTTCTGTACCTTCTCCCCCCTTCTCCTTCTCCCACTCCCCTGTTGCTAACCCTCCATGTGATCTTCATTTCTGTGGTTCTGCTCCTGATCTAGCTGTCCTCTTAGTTTGCATTTGT